GTCCCTGACAAAGTTTTATAATAGTGCCTTGGGCGTGTCTATGACACGATAGAGTAGTCCCAGTCTGACCATAGTTATAATCTGTGTTTTTATAGAGTTATTAATTACATTTGCTCGTGCTGTGTGTGGTGTTTTATGTCATTTATCAAATGTGTTTTTGTATGTGTATGTGTACTTGTATGTGTTTTTGTGTGTGTATGTGTGTGAACGTGTCTGTGTATGTGCGTGCCTGTGTGTATGTACGTGTGTGTGTGTGTGTGTACGTGTGTGTGTGTGTGTGTGTGTGTGTGTATACGTGTTTGTGTATGTATGTCCGTGTGTGTGTGTGTACGTATCTGTCTTGTGGATCTGTATCTTCAAACCCTGGGTTTTCGGCCCTGCAGCTCTTCAGAGTTTTCTTCAGCCTTCTACCTCAACTCCAACTCCGGAGATGGTGGGAGGGTGCCCCTGTTGGTCCAACCTTTTTCCCACCGTGCTGCTTCTGTCTTTCTTTTATTTTCTTTGTTGAGGAGGGGTGGGGTGGTGTTGTGTTTCTAAGTCTTCGTGTTGAATCCTACAGCTGCTTCTCCAGAGATGGTTGGCGGGTGCTTTGATGTGGTTTGCTCCTTCTTTCTTATCATCAAACAATGGTTAATATCTCTCCTTCTTTTTGTGTGTTTGTTACTCTCTAATGACATCTCTAATCGTCGGTACTTATTTGACCAAATTATGTTGCGAGTGCCGTAAAAAAAGTTCCTAAACAAAACAAATTAGTATTGATGAGGGAAATGTTGTCATATTGATTAAGAACATGCATGAACATGACGATGCAACTCATCATTTCAAGAAACCCGTATTCCGTTCGTCAAAAAAGATTAGGCCGTTTTTTCTTTGCTGTTTCACGTTAAAGTCCTAGTGATTTCTTTTTTGTCATGTTCCTTTTAAACTGTGACTCCTCCTTGCAGAGCACTGCTGACATAAAACCAGGAGCATTTTTTTTTTCTCAGGAAAATGTACATACAGTACTTATGTTCACTTTGCTCGCTCTCCGAAAATGAATTTTAAGGCTTTCTAGCTCTTTGGGATGAACCGTGAAACCAGACCTGACTATTGATTTTTTTTTTTTTTGTAGAAGTATCACTTGCCATGTATTTTTCTTGCTTGCGGTGTAGCAGCTCAAGTGTCGTAACTCGGGTTTGGCTAAAATCACTTTTTGACATAAATATTCCAGGGTATTGGGAAGGTACTGTGAAAAAATCTCACGAGTCGCGCGGTTATTTTGTGAAAATACACTTTTGATTGAAGGGGAAATTCGAGGTATTTGTGATTGATATATTGGTTCTTTTTTTTTTTTTTTAAGGATGGGGGTGGGGACAGGTTTGTTCCTCCTGTAATATTGGAAAAACCCAAGTTACGATAGATGTGGTGCTGTCGCACGCATTGATCCTCTCTACTCACATACTATACGTCCGTTATACCCCTGCACTCCACCTCTTGAGATTTCTTTGACCATAATACATCGTCTCACTCCTACCCTTCCAACTACTCCACTCAACCCGCCCTCCCCTCAGCTTCTTCTACAAATTCTGTAGCAACACCAACCTACGGATAGCATTGTGTATTTTATTACACCATAATATATAATATTATGTACATTGTTGTATATGTGCTCACTCATCATGTTTGTGTTTGTATGATAAAAGAGAGATTCTGTGTGTGTGGTGTGGGGGTGTATGCTGGTAAATAAGTGTGCGTGTGAGCGCGCGCGTGTGTGGGTTTATGTTTGTGTTTGTGCATATGAGCAAAGATTAATTTGTCCACAAAATTGTACAATGACTTTCATACATATGAACACATAATTTATTCTTGGATTTGTGTAAGCGTAAAGCGATTAGAGAGCTGTGTGCACACAGAAGTTGGCGCTAGGTCTATAATAGACAAAAAATTAATGATCCAATGTTCGCGGACATGCGACGTTCTTGTCGCACTCATCTACGGTTCTGTTCAAGAAACCCTACGCCACAATTTTCTAAAATCGAGGGGGGAGGGGGGGGGTCAGTTGGGTGTGTTTTGTTTGGTTATGTTTTTGTGTTTGTTTGGTTTTTGTGGTTGGGGGGGGGGAGTTGTTTGTTGTTGTTGCTGCTGCTGTTTTGGTTAGGTTTTTCTTTTTCTTGTTGTTGTTGTTGTTTTTTTTTGGGGGGAGGGGGGTTGTTGTTTTTTTCCGTGACCACATATCTCTCCGTCACATATCTTTCCGATGTGAGGGTAGGACTGTACTTATTACGGTCCAATCCTCACGTCGAAAAGGTTGTGACGAAGAGAGATCTGCATCTACAGGAAAACAAAAAGATCGATTTTTAGAAATGCGTGGCATGCGAGTTTCTTGAACGGAATCATCGTAAAATAGAGATCCTCTTGTTTACGTGAGCTCACAATGTTCTTTTTGTCAAGTTCAAAAGGCCGTTACAAAACGTCCTTGGTGCTGTTCTTGTCTTGTGCATTTCGTATGTTATAAATAATCTCAGACTGTGAAACTTGCGAAAAGTAATTTTAGATCTAACTGAACCTTTTTCTGTTTGCATTCTCGTTCCTCTTTGCTTCCGGTGGTTACAGAAAAAATAAGAAATTTGTTGGGTTTTTTTTTGTTTTTTTTTGTTTTGTTTTTTGTATTTTGGGTTGTTGTTGTTTTTTCGTTTTTGTTTTTTTACCTTGATGGCGTTGGCTTGAAATGCACGTATGAAACAAAAACACGTAAATTACATGTTTACATACATAGAGGGGTCTTGTTCCCAGAGGCAAAGAAAGCTGTTGAAATCTTCACAGATTATGCTGTCTTCAAACTGCCTTTACCCGTCTATTGTGCATTCCCTTTTTGTTGTTTTAAAATGGGGGCTTTTAGCTTGGCTATCTTTACGCTTTTTAAAATATTTTTAATGCTGTTTTGTGTTTTGCTGGTATTTAACACGTGTTCTAAGTGGGAGAGCTTAGCCTAAAGAGCAGCGTACCAAAAGTACTAACTTTAATGGAATTTTGGAAGAGTCGATAACAAGCATGCTAAATAATCCTGCTGATTTTAGACTCGCATGTAAGTCATGGGATATTATTATTATTATTATTGTTGTTGTTGTTGTTATCATAATTGTTTTTGTATTATTATTAATCATTTTACTATTATTATTATTATTATTATCATTATTATTATTATTATTATTATTATTATTAAAGTCTCAGATTAGGAAAACATGATTGTAAAATGTGTATGAAGAACGAAATTACGCTCCAAAACAGGATGCCTTCAAGTTTGGCCCGTTGTACAGATTGTGCGTCCTCAAAGAATTAACGTGAAGAAACAAATAATAATAATAATTGCATTTATATAGCGCATATCCATGCTCAAGAGCTTGCTCTAGGTGCTTTACAACCATTATTACCCCAGCAGACCCTCTGAGAACTCTCAGAAACATTCTCAGCTTCCGCGGAAGCATACAGTGCAAGCTG